GATTCTAGGCGAAGGAATTTGCAGCAGAAGAAAATTGCAGGAACTATTTTAGTCCACTTTTTGATCCGTTAACCATCCGAAACTCACCTGAGGCCCTCCAGACCTCAACCAAATATTCCAACAAGTCCTAAAACATCATACGAACTTAGTCGAGCCCTCAAATCACCTCAAACAACGTTAACACCATGAATTACACCCAAATTCAAGCTTAATGAATTTTGAAATTTCAAGTTTCTTCAAACGACTCCGGAACCTATCAAATCACGTCCGATTGACTTCAAATTTTTCACACAAGTCATAAATGACATAACATAGGTATTCCAATTTTCAGAATCGGATTCTGACCCAGATATCAAAAAGTCAATCCCCCGGTCAAACTTTCCAAAATTAACTTTCGGCATTTCAAGCCTAATTCCACCACGGACCTCCAAATAATTTTTTGGACACGCTCCTAAGTCTAAAATTACCATACGGAGCTATTGGAATTATCAAAATTTAAATCCGAGATCGTTTACACTTAGGTACATATCCGGTCAATCTTTCTAACTTAAATTTTCAATTATGAGACTAAGTATCTCATTTCACTCTGAATTCCTTTCGAACCCGAACCAACTAACCCGATAAGTTATAAATTAATTGTAAGGCATAAATTGAGCAGTAAATGGGGGAATGGGGTGTAATACTCAAAATGACTGGCCGGGTCGTTACAAAAATCGCCAAAAACCGTGTTGAAAATGTCCAAAATGACAAAAATGTTAGAACCCTCTGTTTTTGTACATTGTGCAGAGGTTCCGCTTCTGCGGAATTTTTAACCTCTTTTGCGGATTTTTCCTCCCGTTTCTGCGCCATTCTCACTTCTGCGATTCCAGGTTTGCTTCTGCGAGCTCGCACCTGCGAGCCAATTTCCTCAGGTGCGATTGCATCAGTAGGCAGCAGCAAGTTTCAATTGTTCTAAGTCCAAATTTGATTTGTTAACCATTTGAAACTCACCCGAGGCCCCCGGGACCTCAACCAAATACACCAAAAAGTCCTAAAACATTATAAAAACTTGGTCGAAGCCTCAAATCATATCAAACAATGCTAAAAATATGAATCATATCTGATTCAAGCCTAATGAAATTAAGAAATTCCAACTTCTACATTCGATGTCGAAACCTATCAAATCAAGTCCGATTGACCTCAAACTTTTCACACAAGTCATAAATGACATAACAGACCTATAAAAAAATTTCAAAACTGGATTCCGACCCCGATATAAAAAAGTCAACTCCCCGGTCAAACTTCCAAACTTAAATATTTAAATTCGCCATTTCAAGCCTAATTTAGCTACGGGCTTCCAAATAATTTTTCGGACACACTCCTAAGTCCAAAATCACCATACAGATCTATTGGAATCATCAAAACTTTATTTCGGAGTAATTTATATATAGGTCGACATCCAGCGAACCTTTTCAACTTAAATTTTAAACTTTGGAACTAATTATTCCAATTCATTCTAAGACCTTACCGGACCCGAACCAATTACCCTGGCAAGTCATATAACAATTATAAAGCACAAATTGAGTAGTAAATGGGGGAACGGGATTGTAATATTTAAAATAACTGGGCGGGTCGTTACACACTGCTAGGGCAAACAAGAAGAGAAAGACTACCTCTTCTCTCCCTGTAGAGATTCCTCCTATAAGAGGAAGAGATACAAGGAGTCAGAAGTAGAAGAAAGTAAGATAAAAGGTGCTGCTAAAGGAAAAAAGAAGGTGGTTGAGCCTGTTGAGGCTATTGAAATTGACGAGATGGACCTGGTCCTTCAGGATGAAGAGGAGATAGAAGAAACAGTGGTTGTGACTCCAAAGGCAAAGAAAGCCAAGACTTCCACAAAGAAGTTTGTTACAAAAACAAAGTCTGCGGAGCCATCTACTTTGACTAAAAGAACCAGGTCTGTATTGAAATCAAGTATAGTGACAATAGTTCAGGAATAAGAGTGAAGTGGAGGAGAAGAAGAAGAATTTGATGCTGAGAAGGACAAGGTGGTTAAGTTTGGGAAGAGAACAATCTTGAAAGGTAGACTCTTCAGGGACTTGGAGGAGGAAGGTATGTTAATGCTGCTGGAGAAGTTACAATTACAAGGATGGAAGGACATGGTCCTTCAGATGGATGGAAAGCTGGCCAGAACTGAGATTGTGGAGTTCATGAAAAATTGTGAGATCAAAGATGGTAGGGTCACCAGTGTGGTTAAGGGGGTGATAGTGAGTTTTGATGACAAAGAACTGGGAGAGATTTTAGGTGTACCTGCTGAAGGTTACAATGACTACAAGAAGCTCAAATGGCTAAGTCTAGAGAATCTCCCTACTGCCCTTGCCATTACAAGAAAGTTTGTTGACAATGATGAATAGCTTGAGCCCAAGGTTATTTATAAAAGTAATATGAAGCCACCCCACAAAGTGCTATTCAAATTTGTTAACAAAGTTGTCCCACCTAGGTAGGAAAGAAGGCACATTGCCACATTTATGGACCTAGTCCTTATGGAATATTTGGACAGTAGGAGGAAAATCAATTGACCTGGATTTATTATTCAGCTTCTTAATAGAGTTCTAACTGACACCAAAACTCATGTCATACCTTATGATTTTATTCTCACGGCTGTACTTGCACACTTCAAGGTACCCATCAAGAAATGGGAGGTTGGTACAAGTAAGGATCACTTAGGGGCAAATACTTTGGCTGCTTGTGACTATGAAGTCTACACCACTCCCAAAGAACCTGGTTCATCCAAAAGGGTACCTGTGAACAGCAAAGTGCGAGCCTTGGTGCAAGAGAGTGGGGCTAAGAATGCTGAAATTGAAAGGTTGAAGAAGAGGTTGGCAGAAGTGGAAACTGAGAGAGATGCTCTCAGAGCTGAGCTAGCAAAGTAGAAGGAGAAGAATGATGGTGTTCTTCATGATATGCTGAAACTGCTTCAAGCCAAGAACCAATAATCTGGTTCTTCCCAGCCTTAAGACCTTCCTAGCCTAGTTAGATCAACCACTGACCCGGATGAGATTTTTTTTATTTCTTTTGCTCATGATTCAGTGTTTTTATTTCTCTTTATGCTTGTGGATGACTAATTATCAATGATAATCGACTGTTTTTGTGCTCTAACTATTTGTTGATGCTTCTTAGATGGCTAATATCATTAGATTGATAAATTATATTTGATTCCATAATTACATTTAAAGTAGCCCTAGTGGTCATGAGTAATTTCTATTAAAATCTTGTTATCTAACATAATTATGCAACTTTTCGATGATTCCAAAATGGGGAAGATGGGTTGTATTTTTTACTTTGGACTGTGATGTTTATAACCTAATGAACCTGGTCCTTGATGATTAGTATCTTTAAAATAAAAGTTATAACATTGTGTTGATGTTGAGCTCAGTTGACAAAGGGCTTATGCTTATGAAAAGCGTAGAGTTAATTGTGTGACTTGCATTTGAGAGTTAAGGAAGGAAAAGAAGAGATTTCCATAAATAAATGTTGTAAAGGATTGAGTTGGGAAACATAGCAATCACTCTTGAAACAAAGTAGCCTTAAATATTACTGTCAATATCCAGTAGCATTAACACAACAATCAGTACTGTTGAAACAAAGCAGCCTTAAGAAGACAAGTGAATTTCGTTACCACAAGATATTTATGATAGTTGCAGAGTTACGACTGGAGATATTTAGAGAGCTTTCCTTCAACAATGAGAGCGCAAGAATCACAGTCAACCAATGGACAACTCACGAACAGAGAAGAACGAAAGAAGGGAATACCACGTAACAGAGGAATCAACCCCTCTACTATTGCAGAGGCACGACTAAAGAAGGCAACGACTGTTTATAGGTTTTGAAGAGTAAAATTATACGAAGAGTTTTGTTTTAAAAAGAAATATTTTAGGGATAGAATAGTAAGTATTTTGGTCAAACCTAAAGTGCTTATAAGCTGAAATTTGATAAGTTGGGGGAGACCAACTTATGGCTTTTGGCTTATTTTTGGCTTATAAGCACTTAACTTATAATTACTTTTAATTTTACCAAACGCGTAGATAAGCCAAAAAGTACTTATAAGCTAGTTTGATCAGCTTATAAGTTTAGCCAAACACCCTCTTAATATAGTAATCTGGGACTGCTCAAAAAAGATATATATGGGTGTATGCGACAGTTTTTCATTAGTCAAAATGAGATCTCTCACTATGAACAACTGTTTTTTTTTTTTTGCCGGAACGTCCTGCTTCCCATATTTTGCTTGACTTTGTTGAACATTTTCCTAAATGTATTCCTTGGACATACGGTTACAGAGAGAATACAGATGAAAAATGGTAAAAGAAGGGTTTTTCTCGGATGGGTTAATGTAATTTTATGACCCAGGTAAGAAAATATAGGGTCAGATCATGTAAGTGGGTCAAACTAAATATCCATTTTTTGTTTCTGCCCGAGCTTGCCACATGGCCCAGTAAAAAACCACCACGTCATTAAATTAAAGGCCCACAAGTTTTGCCGTTAGACGTGAGGGTAATTTTATCAATAAAATTAACGTCGTATGCTTTTTGGATGGATAGATGGATGCAGGGTATTTGTAAACTATTTAGCAAACCATAGGGGTAGTTTAGGCATTTTTTCCGAAGGTTCTTTCCTGTTTTCATTCTTGGATTAAAAGCTCCATACATTACACAAGAATAGTTATTACTGGACCTATGTTTTAAGTTTTCATTTAGCCATTCCAGATCTATTATTAGCCATTATATTGTGTAGCATCTGATATGACCATTCCATCATGTTCTCACAATGAAGTCTCTTTTGCACAACTTGATACAATAGTCCCCACTGCTCTTGAGACTTGGCTTCACTTAATCAATCTAATTTTGATGAAAGAAATATGCAATTGTTTAGCACAGGCTTAGGCATCTTGATGTCATTCTCTAAAAGCTACGCATGCTAATAAATGCAAGTCTAATATTGAATATCTAATATTCCAAGTTTCCAACTAACTGAAAGTAATGGCTCAAAAGCATGCATTAGTTTTTGATTTTTCTTAATGACTCTGAAAGAAAGTTAGTTTACAGTTTTTGTCATCGCAAAATGATAGTGTACCTTGCCTCTATTTTCAGGTGTGAAACTTCATAGTCTGAAGGGGTTCAATTGGATTCCTTTCATAGAAAAGTTATACTATGCATATAGGTATCCCAGATGTAGGCATTCTAGCATTTTTTAATCCATTTGCGCCATTGCTATCTTGGTTCAAGAATTGTAAATGTCAAAACATTGTCAGTGAGGCATCTTTTCTCAGTTGAATCATCTGTTTCAGCTGCATTCCTCTCTATGAAAAAACCTGGCTCCTTTGGTTGAGGTAATGCCATTTCTTCATGGCTCAACATGAAAACAACTGATGCCGTTGTTGGTCTGTCTACTGTTAGTTTTTGAACACATAATAGCCCCACATGAATGCATCTTAACACTTGAGATTTCACGAACGATTCTGTGAGACATGTATCCATTAGTTCCAAGGCCTTGCCTTCATTCCATAATAACCAAGCCTACAAATTAAAGCAAAATCAGTATGGTTTACATGATATGCACAAAATACGAGTGCAGCAGGAAACAATGAAGCAAATGTTGGATTCGTATCTTGCTTACATGTCCTAGAAGACTGTGATGGTGGTCGGAATGCTGAAATGTCCTGTTCTTTTTTCCGCTCACTATTTCTAGTAAAAGAACACCAAGACTGAAGACATCTGATTTCACTGAAAATTTCCCATCAACTGCATACTCTGGAGACATATAGCCACTGCATGAAAACATAATGTTAAATACTATATATCAATGATTTGGTGAAGGTAAAGATGAAAGAGTCAATGAGAACTTACTATGTCCCTATTACTCGCTTTGTTTCTTCTTCAATTTGGTCCCCACCAAAAATCCTAGCCAGTCCAAAGTCTGAAATTTTTGGATTCAATTCGCTGTCCAATAAAATGTTGCTGGTCTTTAGATCTCTATGTATAATCCTTAATCTGGAGTCCTGATGAAGATAAAGAAGCCCCCTTGATATTCCCATAGCAATTTGAAAGCGATTTTCCCAGGGAAGTTGTTTCTTCCGGCTCTCATCTGAAGAATATCATTGTAATTCAGTTTGGATCTCTTTATCATGGTTTATCTTTTACGGAGCTTTTATTCATCTTAGAATGAGAAAAGAACATTGTGTTAGCATAATAATGCTGATATGATAAGATGGATCTTTAAATGAAATGAGTTAAGAGAAATGAACCAAAGATGAAGAAGTCCAAGCTGTTGTTCGGCATATATTCATAAACTAGCATCCTTTCTTCGCCTTCAAGACAACAGCCTAGAAGCTTAACTAGGTTTCTGTGTTGAAGTTTGGAAATCAGAACAACTTCATTCTTCAACTCTTCAAGACCTTGTCCAGAATGTTGGGAGAGTTTTTTCACTGCTATTTCTGGTCCAGCTGATAGTTTTCCCTGCCACACATCCACGCAAAGTGTAAACCACAAGAGCATCATTCGTGTGTTTTGACTAAGATACATAAGAGTAAATGATTCTAGTTACCCGATAAACAGGTCCAAAACCACCCTCTCCAATGATATTATCTGATGAGAAATTCTCTGTTGCAATAGTAATACTCATCAAATCAAACAAGGGTAGTTCCATCTCTTCCTTTCCTTCTGGACCTGCTGTAAAATGGAAAACTTTTGTAAAGATGATATTGAGGTTAATGAAGCAACTATACTTTCCAAAATTCTTCAGAGCAGATCGAAAGAAGCCAATTAACCAGAGGTATTCTCCGGCTAGCCAGGTAGTGTAGTAGATTTTCCTATCTGCACTTTAAGATATTATTCAACATGATGGACAAATTTGCTAACCTCTTTTCCTCTTCTTTCTTCGCATTACAGACCAAGACAGAAAACCAAGAAGGATTATCGCTGAAACCGTTGATACAATTGCAATGACTGCTTTTGTTGTCTTTCCTATATGGTTTGAACCTGTCAAAAGTTTACTACGAAAATGTGAAAAATTCCGGTATGATAGTAGTATATATAAAGATGATACATAGCCAACAGCTTAGCATGTCTTTAAGATGCTATTACTGTAAAGTTCCCACCGATTAAGCATAAGGCGGTGATGAATTGATTAATAGACTTACCTATTTCTGATGCAGCCATCCTCACATAGAGATCTTCATCAAGTTGAGCATATTCCCTTATATCAATGAGTTGGTTAAACCAGAGTAAGCATCCACTCCCGCCGTTTCTGACATCAAGATTAGAATATGCAACACAGGAACAGTTCCTCAGGCACAACCTTTGGCATTCCTCAAGGCCAATGGTTTTGTCAAACCAGGAATGGCGTGTATCTGGCAATTTCACACCAGAGTATTTCAGAAACCGATCACTTGTCCCACATTCCAATGGAGTTCTTCGTACGCACCCATTAGACCAATCTGCTGCATCCCATTCTTGTTGATATTTAGGCTTAAAACCTCTCAAACAATCACATGGAGGGGAGTCATTGATGTTGCACTTCCCAAATTGACCACACAAGGCATAACGATCGCAGTTATCCATCTGTCCTGTTGAGTAAAGAAACCAGCTTTCGGTTCGTTCTATCCATAAAAGCCGTTGAATCAGGCCTGCCGGATTCAATACCACCCAGGTGGGAAGAGAAGAATTGAGAAGCTCATACGTAAAGTAGATCTCCTTGTCATTCATCACGAACTCAAATGTATAATAAGGATTTGGTTTCAAATTTGGTCCCCCAGTAAAAGAACGTCCATTCCATGGTCCCGTGTTATACTTTATTACAGGACCTTCCAACAAAAAATATTGAGGGTAACCATTTGTATCAACACGGTGCATATATTCTCCTGGAGAAGGATCATCACTGCTCCTCCACGATGTTAGTGTCCAATTCATGCCAGTGACCAAATTACGACCAACCTTCATGCCCGGTAATAATGTACTGCCTGGATAATCAAAACTCTGCCAAGCATAGTTTTCCGGATTAAGATCACTGCCATCCTTTAGGACAAGATTTCCAGTGTCCAAAAGCTGAGCTACTGGATCCCTCAAGGATGTCGATGAATTCGATGACCAAATCACATCTTGGGTGCCATTCATGAGCAGTAGAATCCCTTTGTCACTGACTGTTAATATTCCAGATGTGTCATTCAGTGGGTTGGATCTATTGGCAACCCAGACCACTTTCTGAGCCTTCGAAATTTTCTTGTACCATATTCCAACGTACCGATTCATGGAATTTCCAGGGCTGAAAAATCCAAGCTCAAAGTAGCCATCAGCTGAAACTATGGTATGGCCATCTTTGATTGGGCTATCCTTCGATATAGTGTCTAAAGCAGTGGAAATTATGAAGAGCAACGACACTATATTGCAGGAAAGGAAATAGAAATCTGCAAAGCGTTTCATGGAAATTGTTTGGTCCCTTGGTTTCAAACAGGTGATCTTTGTGCTATTGGAATTCTTAAGAATCAAACCAAATGGAGATGGAACATTTCCAAGACAAGATTAGACTCCTTGTCATATTATTTGTTTCGTGCATTAATGAATAACTGTTTTCTAAAACCACTAGATCTGACTGGTCCTTTTCATCTCTTTTGAATAGTCAACCCCAGCAATCAAGCAGATACTCCGATTATTGTAGTAATAAGAACAGATTTTGAATACTTCGGTCTCTTTCATTTGACCACATGGCCTGCCTGTTTACCCTAAAAAACAGATAACAATTAAATTTGTTTGTGGTTTTAAGGATACGTGGATTAATTCGATACAAACGATAAATTGCGTAAGATTAAACGGATAAAGGAGGTGATAAATTATCAAACCACTTGAGGGGGGTGATTTCGGACTTAACAACAGCCTTAATGAAATATCCGCCCTCGATCCCGGACTCACAATGACCAAGCACTGATGAACAAGAACTGGAACTTGGAATAACAGAGAAAATAATAGTATATTACATTGATAAGCGTGTTACACTATCCCAAATGAATAATGAGACCCCATTTATATAGTAGAGAAGTTTTATCCTAAGTACAATTTTATGAAAGGTAAAGAATCTTTTGTTTAACCAATCACTCGTTTTGTGCTGATAAGTGCCGAGATCCACGCCGTGATATCCGGCTGGTTACAGATATCACAGCCTTTTGTTGGTCGTGCTCGGTTACCTAGTAGTGTTCTCTGAGGCCTTTGGGATTCGAACCAAACTCAGGGTCATGGCTCCGATACTCTCGAGGCCGGGCGCTTTTCCCGGACCCCGGCTCGAGGGGCTCCTGGTCTCGATTCCGGATCCCTGCCGTTGCGCCTATTGCTCCGTTTGCTTCATCGGAAAATGAGTCATCTCATGGGCTCGATTTTACCGTATACCTCATTTTTTAGAGAGTAAGTTTACGGAAACGACATGAGCACCTCGTTTCCTTCCCAAAACGTCGCAGCAGAAACGACAAAAGATTCGAAACGTCCCGTCAGATGTGTCATAATGACTTCAAATGCGTGTTAGCTATCGACATGATGTCCTTGGATACGAAACATCGCGAAGTCCCTATAAATACCCCCATCTTTCATTCATTATTTAATTTTTGACCAAGTTTCTACCCTCGTACCTTCAGGATATCAGTGCTTCTCTTCCCACCCTAATATTTTTACCTCTGTTCTTCAAGAGTTTTCAGCAAATTACAAGTTTCCGTTTATCTTTTTACCCGAACCAGCACGTTTGATCTTCTCAGCAAACTTTTGTCCTTCATCTCCTAATCTTCCTTTTCACTTATTCTAACTTAGATAACAATGGTGAAGACTTCTAAGACTGTTCCCCAAAAAGTTGTTAAAGGCCGACCGCCGAAGTTGAGGAGAACGCTCCTGATGTGGTTGACCTTGAGAGGTTCGCTTCGGGCGCGGCTACCAATGAACCGGAAGCCGAACCTCCCTTGAAAATGTTCGTACCCGGAGGATGTTCGATCACTGACGACTTTAAGGTCGAAAAACCTTCATCGGTGCAAGGTCGATGCGAGGCGGTATCTTGGTACATTTGCTCCATCACCGAGGTCGTTCTCCCTACGGTTCGCAAGGACTGTGGCTGGACAGATAAGGACAGAGTAATCCCCAGGCCCGATGACGACATTACTACCCATGTAGAGGGGTATCTGAGAGTTTACACTTACCCCTTGACACTAGGCCCGGTGGACCCGGGTGTTCTGGATTTCTGTAGGAGGTATGAAGTGTGCTTCGATCAGATCCACCAATCTCTTTGGAGGATCGTAATCCTCCTCCGATTCTTCGTGAATAAAATTAGCTCCTCCCTGTTCACTATCGATCATCTACTCCGCATATACAGTCCCCGAATCTTCCGGAGGGGGACTGACAAAGCTCCTACGACGGGCCAGCAAAGCCCCATTTTCATGCATTGACGAAAATCGAGATCGGGGTTAGTAGGAAAATTTTGTCTGAGTGAGGACCGCCGACCTGATACCTGCCAAATTTAGGTCATTCTCTGAGAAGTTTAATGTACACGTAAATGTCCTTTTCTTTTATATGTCGATTTCACGTTTTACCTCCCTTTTCCTTATCGGTATTTGCAGTGGCTCTCGAGGCTCTCGAATACGTGAAATAGCAGTCCCGAATAGAGGCTCTCGAGGTGGTCCATGCCCGGGTTTTTGACCTCTTGGTCGAGATCGAAGATGCTAAAAGGCTCAAGGCCGAGGTCAAGAAGCTGGATGACCCCGAGGACGAGGAAGGCTCTGAGGACTCCAGCGAACCCGAGGGCGGAGAAGACCCCGATGGCCCCGGTGATGAGGCTGGCTTCGGTGGAGATCAGGCTTAGGTTCCTTAGAGATTTTTCTTTTGTTTTTGTGTTTTTGTTCATTTTGTTGAGGCCGTTTGGCCTTTGTAAATATCTTTATTGGAATATATATATTAGGCTTTCCTTTGGCAATTTTCGAGTTAGTTTCTTTGGTTTCTTCTTTATGATTGCAAAGATTTCCAATGCCTTAACACGAAATAAAACGTAGTAATAGGGTCTCGTTTGGAGGTTCTTACAAGGATCGTTCTAGATGTAATTTAGTTTGAAACTCGTGGGGGCTTGGTATGACTGGAAGCTTTCCCCAAAGTGCGTACTTAAACATTTTTAGATTATAGTTTTGCCGAGGGTAGTCTTTGAATTGGTTTGGAATTTTTGAAGGCCTTAAGTTTTGACTACGGGCCTTGGACGTCTCCAAGTCATTTTTAGGATGGCCATAGCCTTTTAAGTTTGGGTATTGGCTAATATGCTTTGTACCCCCGAGGCTCGATACCTAAGCCGTCCGAGCTTGCCTATGATGACAGTCCCCGAGTGGGGGTGATCTCTTGGATCCGGATAGAGGCGACCCTTGGGCTCAATATCTATCCTTAAGGAACAAAATGTAATAGTCTTAAGGGACAAAATATGTATCTGCAAGGTAGAAACTTTTTTTTATTTCTGTGTGCAACATACAAGATTGCAAATGTGTACAAGCTTCGTGTTATGGCTTAAGTGGTCTATGTGGGAACGGTTCATTTGACCGTTTGTCCCCTATAATAAATCCTATCCATCGAGCCCAGACTCTTGAAGCACAAAGTTTTCTTCCTTGCTAAAATCATTATCCGAGGGTGATGGCCCCCATTATTCGAGGTCTATCGTTGAAAGGGCTTGGATACTGTTGATGCGACCCTCGACTCCGGTTCATAACCGGCCTTCAATTCTAAGTTAGCACGATCTACTGTTGCCTCATTAAAAACCTTGCCTGAAAACCCATTTGGGACAAAATCGGTTCAAGGAAGAAAGAGTACAATTCGTGCTTTCGTGCCTAATAGCTGCATCATTCTTTGGTTGTTGCCTGCAAGTGATAGTCCAATTCGTAATATATGTAAAGAAAAGAATGGATGGGGTCATATCTTAGTAGTAGTATCTTTTTAATTGGGTTACGTTCCAGTTGTTCGATAGCCGCTCACCATTCCCTACTTCGATTTTTTATGATCCTTTGTCGGTAATCTCGATAATCCCACATGGACCTTCCCAATTTGGTCCCAATATTGAAGTATCGTAGGTTGGCTCTCCGCTTGTAATACCTTTCGATCCGTTATTTTTGGCCGGCCAATAGGACAAGGGCAGCATCGCGCCTCTCGTCCAATAATTCCAGGCTCGTGCTCATGGCCTCATCGTGTGATTCTTCATTCATATATCGGAACCTAAAACTCGGGTCTCCTACTTTGGCTGATATTACTGCTTTGACACCGTAGATCAGTGAGAACAGGGTGGCCCTGGTACTAGATTTTGAGGCCGTACGATATGTCAACAGGACTTCAGGCAAAATTTCCTTTCATTTTCCTTTGGTGTCGGTCAATCTCTTATTAAGGTTTTGGATTATGGTCTTGTTCGTAGAATCCACCTGACTGTTCCCACTAGGGTAATAAGGTATTGATAGGATCATTTTGATCTTATGGTCCTCGAAATATTTGCTCACATTACTGCCGGCGAACTGCTTCCCGTTGTCGTATACGATCTCGGCCGGTATTTCAAACCAGCATATTATGTGGTCCCAACTAAAATCAATAACTTCTTTCTCCATGACTTTCTCAAATGCCTGGGCTTCGACCCATTTAGAAAATAGTCAGTCATAAATAATATAAATTGAGCCTTACCGGGTGCCCATGGTAGGGGACCAACGATGTACATCCCCCATTTCATGAATGCCAAGGTGACAGGACCGAATGTAGTAGCTCCCCGAGCTGATGGATCATCGGTGTGTGCCTTTGACATCCGTCGCACTTTCATATGAACTCCTTCGCATCTTTTTCCATGTCGATCCAGTAGTAGCCAGCTCTGATTATCTTATGAACCGACGATTCGGCACCCGAATGATTCCCGTAGGTGCCTTCGTGAACTTTCCTTAAGATATATTCGATATCACCCGGTCCCAGACATATGGCGAGTGGGCCATCGAACGTTCTCCTGAATAGGGTGTTATCTTTGGACAAATAGAACCTGGCCGCCTTTATGCGCAGGGCTCTTGATTCTTTAGGATCCGAGGGAAACTTCCGATCTTCAGGTAATCTATATACTTATTTCTCCAGTCCCACGTTAAGCTTGTCGAACTTATCTCAGCGTGGTCTTTTTCCACTACCGATTTCATAAGTTGTATGACCGTTCCCGAGCTGAATTCATTGCCATCAACCGACGATCCCAACTTAGCGAGAGCATCGACTTCGTTGTTTTGATCCCGAGGTATATGTTACAGGGTCCACTCCTTGAACCGATGTAGCGTTACCTGTAGTTTATCCAGATACCCTTGCATTCGTTTCTCTTTGACTTTGAACGTCCCATTGACTTAGATCACCGCAAGGAGGGAATCGCACTTAGCTTCGATCACATCGGCCCCCAGGATTTTAGCCAGTTCGAGACCTGCAATCATGGCCTCATACTCGGCCTCGTTGGTAGTAAATTTTACAGTTCTAATAGATTGCCTAACTACATTACTCGCCGGTGGCTTCAACACGATGTCAAGTTCAGACCCCTTTGTGTTTGAGGCACCTT